TCGATCTCTTGACCTCGTGATCCACCCGCCTCACCTCCCCAAGAGCTGGGATTACAGGCGTAAGCCACCATGCCTGGCTAGGAAAAAGGTTCAATGGACTCACACTTCCACATGGCTGGGGAGGCCTCACACTCATGTCGGAAGTCAGAGAGGCAAAGGCAGGTCTTACATGGCGGCAGGCAAGAGTGTGTACAGGGGAACCCCCACATATGAAACCGTCGGCTCTCAGGAGACTTACTCACTACCACAACAGTAGAGGGAAAACTGCCCCCATGATTCAGTTCTCTCCACCTGGCCCCACCCTTCACACATGGGGATTATTACAATTCAACGTGAGATTTCTTTGGGGACAAAAAGCCAAACCAAATCACCATCTTTGTTGTTGGTATTTGAGGAATCAAGGTCAATACATAACATTTAAGAAACTTTTTTTTTTTTTTCCCCAGATGGAATCTCACTCTGTTGTCCAGGCTGGAGTGTAGTGGTGCAATCTTGGCTCATTGCAACCTCCGACTCCCGGGTTCAAGCGATTCTCCTGCCTCAGCCTCCTGGGTAGTTGGGACTGCAGGCGCATGCCACCGTGACCAGCTGAGTTTTCTATTTTCAGTAGCGAAGGGGTTTCACCATGTTGGCCAGGATGGCCTCCATCTCTTGACCTTGGGATCCTCCTGCCTTAGCCTCCCAAACTGCTGGGATTACAGGTGTGAGCCACCTTGCCCAGCCTGGGACATTGCCTTAATTAAAATTAAGAACTCTTGCTGGGTGTGGTGGCTCACACCTGTAATCCCAGCACTTTGGGAGGCTGAGGTGAGCGGATCACCTGAGGTTGGGAGTTCAAACCAGCCTGACCAACATGGAATAACCCCATGTCTACTAAAAATACGAAATTAGCTGGGTGTCCTGGCGCATGGCTGTAATCCCAGCTACTCAGAAGGCTGAGGCAGGAGAATCACTTCAACCCAGGAGGCGGAGGTTGCGGTGAGCCAAGATTGCGCCATTGCACTCCAGCCTGGGCAACAAGAATGAAACTCCGTCTCAAAAAAAAAAAAAAAAAACCCTCACCAGAATCGTAATGAGAGGACAGAAAAGCCCCTATAGTGCGACAGAGCCCACTGGCCACACACCTGACGGGGGTATGTGCAGAATGTTTTTGGTTTTTCTTCTATCTTGAAGATAGAAATCAGCCAGCTAAAAAAAAAATCAGCAAGAGACGAAAACCAGCAGAGGCTGAATAAAGATGACCCGTGGCCATGTGCCAGACAAGATGCTCAGTCTCCTCAGTCACGGCCACTGTCCACTCAGCACCGAGGCTGAGTGCAGAAAGGTGTGCGCCTACAGGATGTGGGGCCATGGGGCTCAGTGGCATCGCTGAAACAGTGAGAGGGACGGGCACAGATGCATTCCGGGACGCAACCTGAACGTGGCCTCACCTCCCTTGGGCCCTGTGCAGCCTGAAGACAGGCAGAACTTGGCTCATGGAGGAGCCTGGGAGGCCACCGGTCTTCCACCAGGACAGGCTGCGGGGAGAATGGGGCCATCGGGGGCAGCGGCAGTGATGGGGGCCTCTGGAACTCAACAGGCTGAATGTATGTGTGTCTGCAGCCTCAGTGTCACCACCGGAGTCAGCGAGGCCTGGAACCCCTCACGCAGCTGCTGCAACCCTGCTGAGGCTCTGCCCACCCATGACGCTCGGCCCCGCTCAAAGAAAAAGGACAGGGACAGATTCTCCTTTCCCACCTGCAGTGTGTGGGACTCCCGGGTGGGGCTGCATGGCAGACACAGACCAGGGTCCTCCACACAGGGAACTCTCCTGAGAGAAGGCCACCCAGCTGCACTGGCCCCAAGTCCCAGGCCCCTGCTGAGTCTGCATTTTCTGCTGAGTAAACGGACCGTGGCTCTTTCTGGGTGTGGACTTTCTCCCTGTGGATCTATAATTTCTCAGAAGTGGAGCCGAGACGACACCTGGAAAACGATCAATTCTCGATAAAGGGAAGGAGGTGACACAGGGGTGGCTTCCCACAGCTCTGCGTACGGGGTAGGGCCCAGGAGAGCTGCTGCCCCCCCAGCCCCAGCTCTGCCCCCACCTGTGCCCCTGCCGGCTGCTTCCCTGGACGCATTCCCACTGCCAGGCGGTGGGGTGAAGGGGGGGGGAGGGCAGGTGGGTGGGCCCACTGACAGGGGCGGGGCTTGCAGGGACTTAGGACAGGGCTGCACCTGTTCAGGCCCCGCTGGAGGCAGTGACCAGCTGGGAAGTGGTCTGAGCAGGTGGAGGGGAACCAGGGGCCGCTGTAGGCAGGTGGAGACAGAGCCCAGGGGTGACCTCGGACATGGCCAGGCACATGTTCCTGCGCCCTCTGTGCACACAAGTCACTGTGGGGCGGCCAGGCCCTCACCAGAGGCGGGGGACAGCAAGGGGCAGGGGGGCTTGTCTGGGCCACCAGACCTGGCTCCCACCGCCGGGCCACCCCCACGCCCTCCCCGAGGATGGTGCAGGGCAAAAGCAAACAGGGGCTACCACCCTGCCAGGCATTCCTAGAAGAGGCTGGGGGCGGGGCAGTGGCGAGACACCAGTGCCCCGGGGTCACGGGAGAGGCAGGGACAGGCCTGGCCCTGGACAGCACCCTTGGCCTGGATCCCAAATAGCCGCTTCCACCCAGGCTTTAGGGAACCCCCGGGAGGAGGTGGACAGCTAGGCAGGGCATGGGGAAGGGGTGGCAGCCCCTGAGCCCCATGTAGCTGTCTGTTCAGGCCAGGGGTGGGGTCAGGACCCCAGGAGCTGCCTGGGGGGCCCCTGTCCACAACAGGAGCTGGTAAAGCCCTGGGCTCCCCAAAGCAGCCCGAGCCCCAGCCCCTCCCAGGCTGCTCCAAGGGGCCTCCACTCCTTCCCCGCTGCTCAGCCTTCCCCAGTCAGCCCTGCAGGGGGCCCGGGTACTGGCCATCAGCCCCCAGAGCCCCACCACAGCCCACCACGGGCCCCGACGGAAGCTCCCTCACCCACTGCACTGTCTGTACCCCAGGGCTTGGGGCAGATGCCAGGTGCCCGGCAGGAGGGGGTTAACAGAGTTGGGGCCAGCTGGGCTGGGCCAGCCAGGTGACAGGCGCAGGCTGCCCCACAGTGGGGAAATCCAGAGGGCAGGGTTGGCCGGCGCCGCAGACGCACCCTCCGTCGCTGCTACCTGTGGCCTGCCCTGCACTCGGGATGGCCCTGAGGAAAGGTGAGCCCCCCAGTGTCCCCAACACCTGCCCTGGGGGTGGCCAGACCATGACCTGAGTCCACTGGGAGGGGCCGGGTGTGGTCCCCAGGGAAGCTCTGCAGAGCTCAGCTCTGGGGGTCTTGGGGGGACTCCGGGGAGCCCAGGGGGAATGTGGCTGCTGGGGTTGGGAAGGGGACACAGCTGTGCCTGGCACCAGAGGGTCTCCATCCTGTTCTCAATCCTAAGGGTGCTGGCAGCGGTGCAGGGAGGAGTGCCAGGCATAGGCTGGGCAAACAGGAGCCTTTAGCTCCCAGAATGGCGGGCACAGTAATGGGGGAGGTGCCCCTCACACCCTGCATTGTGGGCCTGACCCAGGCAGGAGATGGTGGCTTCTACCCCACTGTCTTTGTGGGGTGCTCCCTTGCGGCTTCTGCCACCCCTAAGCCTGAGCTGAGCTCTAGGGCTGTCTCAGGCGACCCCCAAATGATCGTGACAGAAGGGCATTTGGGGGGCTCCACCTGACTGCACCCACCACCATCACAGCGATCCCACACTCTGAGGACAGGGTCAGGCCATGCCGTAGAGGTTCTGGGTCACTGCTGTTTGGGAGGTTGCTGGCCCTGGCCGGGTCTGCGGGGCCTGTGGCACCTTGTCCTGAGAGGCAATGTGACCTGTGGGAGCCGAGGCCTGAGTTCCTACCTGCCCACCAACACCGCTGCCCAGGTCTTCTACACAGCACTGGGCTGAGGCCTGGATGCAGGAAGATGAGACCCCGCTGAGGGGGCCTAACTCGGGCAGAAGGTGCCTAGCCCCCTGTTCCGCCTCTGAGAGCAGCGAGTGAGTGCCCACCCAGACCGACTTGAAAATATTCTGAAAATGGCCGGACCTGGGCTCAGCTCCCTCCCCTTCCTCCAGGCCAACGTGCAGTTGCCACATGGTCAGAAAGGCCCAAGCCCCAGCCTGGCTGAGCCCACGTGGCCTGCGTAGAGATGCAGAGCCAAGCCCTAGGTATCTGTGCAGCCGGGCGGGGCGGCCACTCCACCATCCCCTGGGGTGGGAAGCTTCTGAGCTGGAGGACCCGGGGGGCTCACCGGCTTCTTCGCGTCTCGGGGGTGAGCTGGGGTCTGCGTTTGCACCCGAGCGCCGCTTTCAGCTGTGCTGGCATCAGCCTCACAGGACAGAGCCCACCTTGGGCTGCCTCCCCAAGCTTCTCCCCCCGCAGGAGACCCGGCCCTGGCGCTGCTGCTGTTGTCCTGGGTGGTACTGGGCCCCCGCAGCCTGGAGGGAGCAGAGCCCGGAACACCGGGGGACCCTGAGGGCCCAGCGTGCCCAGCCGCCTGTGTCTGCAGCTATGACGGCGATGCGGAGGAGCTGAGCGTCTTCTGCAGCTCCAGGAACCTCACACGCCTGCCGGATGGCATCCCGGGCGGCACCCAGGCCCTGTGGCTGGACGGGAACAACCTGTCATCCATCCCCCCGGCGGCCTTCCAGAACCTCTCTAGCCTGGGCTTCCTCAACCTGCAGGGTGGCCTGCTGGGCAGCCTGGAGCCGCAGGCGCTGCTGGGCCTGGAGAACCTGTGCCACCTGCACCTGGAGCGGAACCAGCTGCGCAGCCTGGCTGTGGGCACGTTTGCGCACACGCCCGCGCTGGCCACGCTCGGCCTCAGCAACAACCGCCTGAGCCGGCTGGAGGACGGGCTCTTTGAGGGCCTCGGCAGCCTCTGGGACCTCAACCTCGGCTGGAACGGCCTGGCCGTGCTCCCCGACACGGTGTTCCATGGCCTGGGCGGCCTGCGCGAGCTGGTGCTGGCGGGCAACAGGCTGGCCTACCTGCAGCCTGCGCTCTTCAGCGGCCTGGCCGAGCTCCGGGAGCTGGACCTGAGCAGGAACGCGCTGCGGGCCATCAAGGCCAACGTGTTCGCGCAGCTGCCCCGGCTCCAGAAGCTCTACCTGGACCGCAACCTCATCGCCGCCGTGGCCCCCGGCGCCTTCCTGGGCCTGAAGGCGCTGCGCTGGCTGGACCTGTCCCACAACCGCGTGGCCGGGCTCCTGGAGGACACGTTCCCCGGCCTGCTGGGCCTGCGCGTGCTGCGGCTGTCCCACAACGCCATCGCCGGCCTGCGGCCCCGCACGTTCAGGGACCTGCACTTCCTGGAGGAGCTGCAGCTGGGCTACAACCGCATCCGCCAGCTGGCCGAGCGCAGCTTCGAGGGCCTGGGCCAGCTCGAGGTGCTCACGCTGGACCACAACCAGCTGCAGGAGCTCAAGGCGGGCGCCTTCCTCGGCCTCGCCAACGTGGCGGTCATGAAACTCTCCGGAAACTGTCTCCGGAACCTTCCCGAGCAGGTGTTCCGGGGCCTGGGCAAGCTGCACAGCCTGCACCTGGAGGGCAGCTGCCTGGGCCGCATCCGCCCGCACACGTTCGCCGGCCTCTCGGGGCTGCGCCGGCTCTTCCTCAAGGACAACGGCCTCGAGGGCATCGAGGAGCAGAGCCTGTGGGGGCTGGCGGAGCTGCAGGAGCTGGACCTCACTGCCAACCGGCTCACGCATTTGCCCCCGCGGCTCTTCCAGGGCCTGGGCAAGCTGGAGTACCTGCTGCTGTCCCACAACCGCCTGGTGGAGCTGCCGGCGGACGCCCTGGGCCCCCTGCAGCGGGTCTTCTGGCTGGACGTCTCGCACAACCGCCTGGAGGCACTGCCCGACGGCCTCCTGGCGCCACTGGGGCAGCTGCGCTACCTCAGCCTCAGGAACAATTCCCTGCGGACCTTCACGCCGCAGCCCCCTGGCCTGGAGCTCCTGTGGCTGCAGGGGAACCCCTGGGACTGCCACTGCCCTCTTAAGGCGCTACGGGACTTCGCCCTGCAGAACCCCCGCGTGGTGCCCCGCTTCGTCCGGGCCGTCTGTGAGGGAGACGACTGCCAGCCCCCCACATACAACTACAACAACATCACCTGCGCCAGCCCGCCCAAGGTTGCCGGCCTCGACCTGCGGGATCTCAGCGAGGCCCACTTCACACCCTGCTGACCGGGGCCCCTCGCGTGGCTTACCCTGTGCAGGGGACAGGTCCTCTGTGTCCTCGGGGCCTGGCAGATATCCGGCCCCGTGCTGTGCCCTTGCTGAAAGACAGAAGGGCCTGACTGGGGTGGGAGGCGCGGCAGCCTTCCCCCGGTGTCATCAATTAAAGGCAAACACAGTTGAATCTAATGGACGCAGCGCGTGACTGCAAGCGTGAAATCAGGGAAGGGGGCTGGGTGCACGGCACACACGTGGGGTCTCAGAACTTTGCAAGGCCAAGGTGGGCAAATTGCTGGAGCCCACGGGTTCAAGACCGGCCTGGGGAACACAGGGAGAGCCCATCCCCACAAAAAAATAAATTAGCCAGGCATGGCAGCCCATGCCCGTGGTCCTAGGGAGGCTGGGGCAGGAGGATCGCCAGTGTCTGGGAGGTAGAGGCTGCCACGAGCCCAGATTGTACCACTGCACTCCAGCCTGGGCGACAGAGCAAGACTGCCTCAAAAAAACACACCTGGCTTAGGGGAGGGGAGGGTGGCATTGTCTGGGTGCGCCTAGGTATCCTCACCTTTGCCCTGAGGGGCTTGGCCATGCCCAGAGCCCCTGCCGGGACACAGCCCCTCCACTTCAGTGGCCGACCGACCCCCTTGAGTCCTCCTGATCCCTGCGGCTGCCCCCCGGGTTCCCCTCAGGAAAACGGCACCAACTCGAATCCTGGGAGCTCCACAACTCACCCCTCCTCTTCAAGGCATCGCCCAGAGGACCAGGCAGCCAGTGAGCACAGGGCGTGGCGTCAGTCTGGCGTGGGCAGCCACCCCTGCAGCAGGGCCCCGGCATCCTCCCACCTGCCTAGGGACGGCCGGGTTGGTTCCTGGCCCTCACCTCCAGGGTCCTCCCCTGCTGAAGGCCCAGCTCTTCCTTTGGGAAAAATGGCACGTTCTGCTTTCTGGAATGGCTTTCCTTCTGCGTCTCCCTGAGAAGAGCTGCAGGGGCCCCCGCGACTCGGAGCTCCCCTATCCCCCACCTCTGGTCTCAGTCCCTTGGAGGGGCCCCCGCAGTGTCTGGGGGGCTGTTCTTCCATGGCAAAGCCACTGGGTCTCAGGTTTATCATAAAATCTCTCTGAACTCCCACCAAAGGAACAGGGGCTGGCTGACAATGGAGCTAAGGACTCACCAGCCCAGCCCAGGAAGACAGAAGCGGATGCTGTCTGACCCCTAAGGACAGAAAACTCTAGAAGCATCAGACTTGTAACCATGGCAGTGCATTTAATGGCACGCTCCTCCCACTTAGAAGACATGTCTGAGGTCAGTTCACTCCCTTAGGAGGCACCTCCCCAGCTGAACACAGACCACAGTGACCCCAGGCTGCTGGGGACCTGGGGCCCCGTGAGGCCTGCAGGAGTCCCAGGGGCTCTGTGACTGTGTGGACACGCGGCCGCAGGTGCAGGTGGGAAACGTGAATGGACGAGGACCCAGGCCGCCTGCCACATGGCCCCAGAGCACCCGGCCCCGAGCTGCCCTCTCAGCCACAGGCCATGCAGGCAGAGCTGCTGACGCCTGAATCCTCCCTGGGGCAGGGCTGGCTGGGGAGACGCTCCCCTGATCATGATGCCTGGGCCTGCCCCTGCAGGGCCCGGACCTGAGCCCAGGCCGCTCCGTTGCTCTGAGAAGCTGGAGAGAGCCCTCGGTGGCTCTGGGAGGCAGCTGCAGGGTGGCCTTAGTCAGGGAAGGCACATGGGCGTCGCGTCCAGGATCTTCTGGGCTATGGAGCTGAGCGCGGCGAAGGCGGGGCTCCCGGGGAACTCCTGGATGAAGTCATGGCCCTCCTCCAGGCTCCTCGTGAGCTCAGGGTCCAAGGGCACAGAGCCTGCACAGCACAGCGAAGCCAGGGAGGCGAGGGCACCGTGTTCACACCTCCCGCTCCCAGCATGGGCTCGGCTGGCCAAAAGCAGACACCATCCGAACCACCCGAGGCCACAGAGGGGGCGGAGGTGCTGCCCGGAGGCTTCCACCTCCGGCTGGGTCCTGTGGCCCCTGAGCGCACCTTGAGAAGGGTGAGGGTGGATGAGCCACAGGTCACAGTGCTGCGTGTGGCCTGAGGAGAGAGGAGGAAACAGCTCCCGTCCCCTCCTCCCCTCGGGCGCTGGGGTCACAGAGGTCAAGCCCGCCCAGGGCAGAGGCTGTGGACAGGGAGGCCGGGACCCCAGCACCAGGTCAGGATACTCACCTAAGAAGGGCACCCCAGCAAGCCGGGCCAGCTCCTCCCCGCCGCCCCTGGAGAAGACGCTGATGCACTCCTAAGAGAGGGTGGTGAGCCCAGCGCCACACAAGGCCCCACCCGGCCTGCCTGCCACCCCCGCCATCAGGTGCTGCCTCGGCCCTGCAGCCCCCGGGGCTCACCGCGCAGTGTGGGCAGGTGAAGCCACTCATGTTCTCCACGATCCCCATCACCCGCAAGCCCGTCTTTCTGCAGAAGGTCAGCTCACGCCTCACATCCCCTATGGACACCGCCTGCAGGGCAGGAGCCAAGGTTGCCAGTCGGCCAGGCTGGGCCAGGTGCACAGGCAGGGACACTGGCCCAGCCCACTGGGAAGCTGCCCACAGGGGCTCCGGAAGGCTGGCGGTACCTGAGGCGTAGTGACCACAAGGGCCCCCAGGGGCTGGTAGGGCCGCAGGGCTTCCACAGTGGCCATGTGCTCGTCGGAGGTCCCCGGGGGCGTGTCCACCACCAGGAAGTCTAGCTCCCCCCAGGCCACGTCAGACACAAACTGCTTTATCAGTGCTGCAAAGACAGGGCTGTCAGGGAAGGGCAGGTCTGCACATGCGGCCCCACGCTGCTAAGAAATGGCCAGGTCAGGCTGAGGGGCTGGAGCCCAGCATGCGTCACCGGCCACCAGCCTCCATCACAGGTTCTTGGAAGGTCCCGGCCCACTGCAGGAGCCAGCCAGGCCCTGACCAGGAGCAGAGATGGGGCCAGGGCCATCTACAGCATATCAGCCCTGCCCACAAAGTACGTGCTGACTCCCCGAGGCCCCAAATCAGAACACGGAGCCAGGACCCTCAGGGGTCTGTACCCACAAGTGGGAGTACTCACATTCTCCGTGGCAGACACTCCACAGGTGCACCCCGAGCCTGTACCTCACTCCCACCAGCCTCTCCCTGCTCCAGAGGCACCAGAACCCCTTTAGCTTTACCCCCACGACCTCCCACACTGGGGCCTCAGATCCCTGCATGCCATGGCCAGGGTCTCGGCAAGCCCCTCCCTCTGGCTGCGTAACAGCATGGACTCAACTTAAGCCACACCACCAGCCAGAGTGCCGTCCCTGGTCGTGGTGTCACGTGTGGGTCCCCAGGCCCGGCTACTGGAAGGGAGCATTTCCACGGAAGAGGCCAGCACCGATGCTCACCGCCTTCCCCAGGACAGCGGCGCCCCGCCCATTATTACCGTTTTTCTTGGGGCCTCTCCACACCACGGCCTCGTCCGGCTTCTCCAGCAGGAAGCCCACGGACATGAGCGAGATGCTCTGCTCGCGGTCCAGGAAGACGGGTGCCCAGCCGCGGTCGCACTGGTGCACGGCCCTACCCTGCGCCCCGAGCATGCGGGGGATGCTGGGGCCGCACAGGTCCACGTCCAGGATCCCCACCTGCAAGAAGCAGTACAGCCTAGGCCAGGGGCACCGCCAGGCCTCCGCGGGGATGCGGGCGGCTGCCCGGGGCACCGCCCAGTGAGGGTCAGGGCGCTCACCTTCTTGCCTGCATGGCGCAGTGCCAGGGCCAGCTCCGTGGAGATGGTGCTTTTCCCAACGCCCCCCTTTCCCGACAGGACCAGGATGATGTGCCTGACGCCGGCCAGGTTTCCAGGCTCTGGTCAGAAGCACGAGGAAGGTCAGGGCCCCCCGCGCCCACTGTACCCACACACACGGGGTTGCCCAGCACCTCCCGCACCCACAGCGGAGTGGTAGGGAATGGCCAGACCCAGAGGCAGCCCCTGTCCCGCTTCAGCCCGATGTAAAGACCTCCAGCCGGGTGCCCTGCAGCCCCAGCCCAGCGAGCGTCCCTCTAAGACCACTGCACTTCCTGCACCTGCCTGAGGCGGCGCTGCTAAGAGCAGAAAGTGCCAACGTGCCTCTCAGTGCTGGCAAGGGTGATGCCTTCCTTCATGCGCAGGTGTGTGTGCAAGCTAGCAAACGTGAGCGACATGATCATCAAACTGCCAGCCCCCTGCTATTTCTAACGGGAGGCAGAAGAGACTCCACTCTTTCCCCAGCCTGTGCAGCCGGACTCGGCAGAGGCAGCACACGCTGCCCTGAGCCTCCAGTTCTCAGGAGGGACGCTGGCAGCTGAGGGCCCAGGGTGGCCACAACCATGCGTTGCACGTCGGCGACCCCTGGTTCTCAGCCCTGCAATGCGCGGTAGGTGAGGGCCGCCGACCACTCCCCGCACAGCCCTGTCCCCCAGTTCCTCTTCCTTCCAGGGTCTCATCCTGTCCCTGCCACGAGGTAGGGTCTGCTGTGTGCAGACACTCTGACAAACCCCTGCCTTCTCCCCTCAGCGCCACCGCTGAGGCTACGCCCCTTGTATCCAGCAAGCTGCTCCATCCCTGACAGGTCCTCGGAGGACCAACGCCTCCTCCTGACCCACCTCTCAAGAGCAGGTTAAGAGGCTCCCAAGTCCACAACCTCCCAGGGCAACCTGGCATGCAGGCAGGTCCTTGGACCTACAGAGCCTGCCTGTGGTCTTCGCAGAAAGGGCAGCCCCACACTCCCGCAAACACCCAGCCCTGAGACCAGGGCCTCATGGTCACCCTGGAGGCAATCAAAGAGGTTCTGACGTAAATCACTTTAAATACCAAGAGATACTGGAGGTGCACTGTGCAGAGCCTGGCAAGCATGTCTGCGGCTTCCGGGGACCCCGTCAGGCCTGGGTCCCGACTGCCAGCGGCCATCAGTGCTAACCCCCGGGGGCTCTCCTCACTGGCAGACATGGGGACTGTGACCATCTGGCGAGTTGGGCTGAGCACCACTCGGGGCGCGGACGCCAGTATCAGGCAACTAAGAGGGGGAGGTCCCTCCCAGATAATAACCCTGAGGGTTCCCCAAGAACTTTCCACTTCTCAGCAAACTGAAACAGCTCCTAGGCAGACGCCCAGCAAAGCGCAGTCAGTGTGGGCCTGCCGGGTGCTGCAGC